CCGTGTTGACCAGGATGGTCAACACGGTGAAACCCCGTCTCTACTAAAAATACAAAAAATCAGCTGGGCCTGGTGGCGCATGCCTGTAATCCCAGCTACTCAGGAGGCTGAGGCAGGAGAATTGCCTGAACCCAGGAGGCGGAGGTTGCGGTGAGCCGAGATCGCGCCATTGCACTCCAGCCTGGGTAACAAGAGCAAAACTCCAACTCAAAAAAAAAAAAAAAAAGATTAATACATTGTAGTAGTCCCTCCCACCCACTCCCAACCCGCCCCACACACACTTACAGCTTTACATAAACTTTACATAAACTTGGTTTTCTATAACTGGTCAGCTTATGGCTCCAAGTGGTCATCATGATCCTGATGTTTGTTGGAAGATGGTTTGCCTTTTTACCAGGATATCATTTCATAACTTCTGTGTTTTCAGTCTTGGATTTAGAGAAGAATTAAATAGTTTTAATATCATGATTTTCATGTAACCATTAAGTAGAATCAAATTACAAATTCTGTCTGGTTGTTAATTTCTGTTTATTTGTTTTTTTTTTAATTTACAGAATGCTCTTTTCAGTTGCATTAGCAGAAATGAAAGTAAGTATATTTGCCGATGGTTGTACAAGCAGCCGAAGATCAAAACATAGTTCACAGAACATAATTAGTAAACCATCTGAAGCAGTGTGCACAGCAGGATTTCAATAGGCCCTTTCGCATGATGTATTCAGGTCATTCATGTATTATAACAATTCCCATGTCCTAATTATAGATGTACAATGCAGATACTAAAGCTGTATGTGCTAGAGCATGATCACAACCCAATAAATAGGCCCATTTTCAGAAGTACCCACACTATATAATGTAGCTGAGTGCTATGTCTCAGTTCATTCAGCAGACATTGATTGAGCATTTGCTTAGTGTGAGGCAGACACATCTGTGGAGGACACGACCTATATACAAACAACCCTGGGATATAGTAGGATATGAGATAGTGTCACTGGATAAAGTGCTGCAGGAGTTCAGAGGCTGCAGCGGTGCTTAGAAGTGGCTTCATGGAGTTGGTAGCTGAGCCAGGCCATGAAGGATAGACTAGATGTGAACAGCAGAGAATGGAGGAAATGGAGATGGGAGGAAGGCCTTCAGGTGAAGGGAATAGTGAGAGCAGTTAGGGATGGGAACACACATGTAAGGAACAAAGAGTTCTTAGCTGAGCAGGGAAGTATATTGAAGGATAAGAAGAAACATTTGCTGTCTGTACTTTATCTTCTACCCTTTCTAACTGGGGCTTAGTTCAAGATTTTCTAGGAAGTCTCAGGCATGTAATCTTATGTCCTCTCACACTGGTGAGGAAGCCAGCTGCGTGGGGGTCAGAAGATAGGCATCTTGTTCTATTCCTATTTGTCTATTCTTACATGTCTGTACCATTCCCCACTATCACCCCCAACTTATCCTTACTGAGTTTTACAGTGATAAATGTAGCCACTAATAATTGTTCTTTGGCCTGCTGCTGCCTATAATCCTAGCACTTTGGAAGGCTGAGGCAAATGGATCACTTGAGGTCAGCAGTTCAAGAGCAGCCTGGCCAATATGGTGAAAACTCATCTCTACTAAAAATACAAAATTAGCTCACTGTGGTGGCATGCGCCTGCAGTCCCAGCTGCTAGGGAGGCCGAGGCAGGAGAATCACTTGAACCCGGGAGACAGAAGTTGCAGTGACCCGAGATCACACCACTGCACTCCAGCCTGGGCAACAGAGCAAGACTCTGTCCAAAAAAAAAAAAAAATTGTTCTTTGTGAAGAAAATGAACTCTTTGGCAATGAACACAATGAGTTTGGTAGCAAGTTTAAAAGCGGTAGTATAGTAGGTATGGAATAGTTTCCTGGTCTAGGAAACTGAGGCTTGTCCTATCTCAGTTCAGTCCTAGTTCAGTTTCTTCAATTATGACTTTATTATTATCATTATCATTGTTTCTGGAAGTCATCTGAACTCCATGCTCATGGGTCTATGGAATTCACCAGAAACCTGATTCTGGTTCCTCTACATCTATCCCTAAGAGTTATCAGGAATTTCCTCACTGCGCTCTCACTCTCTCTCTCTCTCTCTCTCTCTTTGTTTTCAGGCAAGGTTTAGTTCTGTTGCCAAGGCTAGAATGTGGTGGCAAGATATTGGCTCACTGCAGCCTCCGCTTCCTGGGCTCAAACCATCCTTCCACCTCACCCTCCCTAGTAGTTAGGACCACAGGCACATGCCACTGCGCCTGCCTAATTTTTGTATTTTTAGTATAGATGGGGTTTCAACATTTTACCCAGGCTGGTCTTGAACTCCTGGATTTGAGTGATCTTCCTGCCTTGGCCTCCCAAAGTTCTGGGATTACAGGCATGAGCCACAGCACCCAAACCCCTGCTTTCTCTTAACCTCTTCCTGCCATACGTCTACCTCTCCCTTCAGCCTCCCACAGATTCCCTTAGATTCCTATGAGGGGTTCTTGTTCTTCTCCATTGCAAATCCCCTGCACCCCCGGCTACTCATCTAGCTCTTTCAAAATACCTTAAATGGCAGCCCATTGATTTTTTAATACATAAATCCAGAGTAATATTTATTTCAAATGAGTTTTACTTTTCAGTGTTGAAGCAGGTCATATCAATTGTGAGATGAAGTCTATCTCAATTTGGGCATACTCTTACAGATAGATGTTCAAACCATATAAAACTTTTGAGATTTCGTTTCAAGATACACTTATATAAATGTCATATTTATTAAATGATCCTTACATCACTTAGTTTTTACTGGCCCTATTTTATAAATGTGAGGGATTTAGGGTTTTGTTTTATTTTGGTTTGGTTTGGTTTGGTTCTGCTTTGCTTTGTGTTTATAAACCTCTACAAATCTAACACAGAAAGACCCGGCTTCACTGGTTTTCAACATGGGCACTCTTGGCATTTTGAGAAACAGTTTTTGTTATGTGAGACTGTCCCATACATTGCAAGACATTTAGCAGTCCTAACCCCCATGCACTAAATGCCAGCTGTAGTCCAACTCCTTGGCGGTGGGGGGGTGGTACTGTTCCTGTAGAGAACCACTGAACTAGAGGCTGTAAGTTGATGAATAATGACTTATACTAGTGAGCACTTGAATGTCCCCATGATTATATCTATAGGAGTGCCGATTTTAAGTGTTCATCTTCTATGGCATGGTTTTATTTCTCAAATTTAGAAAGACATATTGTTCCATCATTATGATGATGATTTAACATTAACAAAAAGCTGTTTCCGTTTCAGTCCCTTCTCTTTTTTTCCCCATAGTGGGCTCGGTTTGTTGCAGTTATGCAGGTCACCACACAAACTGCCGAGAATACTGTCAAGCCATTTTTCGAACAGACTCTTCTCCTGGTCCATCTCAGATCAAAGCAGTGGAAAATTATTGTGCTTCTATTAGTCCACAATTAATACACTGTGTGAACAATTATACTCAGTCTTATCCAATGAGGAACCCAACGGATAGTAAGTAAAAAGGACGTATTCCTCTCATTTCAATCTTTGGTTTGGGAGTTTGTAAAAAGAAGTGACATGTTCCTGTAGATATCTGCAATCTGGGTCATTTGAGAAATGCCAGACTTCCTTTGGTATTTAGATTTGGCAGATTGAAGAATATTGTCACAGCCAATAGGGGCCAAGAAAGATGAGACTGTAGAGGGTATGAGGAAACAGGAATTCTCAATTCTGAGGGTGGGAGAGTTAATTGATAGGGATTTTTTGGAGAGAAGTTGGGTAATGACCATTAAGATTTCAAATAATCATAAGCTTTTGATCTAGCAATTCCATTTCTTAGAATTTATCTCGCAAGAAAACTTATATAAATTTACAAATATATATATATATAAATGCATGCATGTAAGGGATGCTCACTACAATGCTCGTGTAATAGAGAAAAATTACAAATAACCCAAACATCCATCAATACAGTATCGATTAAAATTGATTTAAATAAATTATGGCATACTTATAAAATAGATTAAATTAAAAGAATAATAACACTTGGCAACCAACAAAAAAAAAGGACTTCTTACATAGAAAGAAATCCAAGGCCGAGCATGATGGCTTATGCCTGTAATCCCAGCACTTTGGGAGGCCAAGACAGGCAGATTGCTTTGAGCTCAGGAGGTAGAGACCAGTCTGGGCAACATGGTGAAACCCCATCTCTACAAAAAATACAAAAATTACGCAGGATCACACGCTTGTGATCCCAGCTACTTTGGAGGCTGAGGCTGGAGAATCGCATGAACTTGGGAGGCTGTGGTTGCAGTGAGCCAAGATCATGCCACTGCACTCCAGCCTGGGTGACAGAGACCCTGTCTCAAAAAAAAAAAAAAGTCCAGGCACGGTGGCTCGTGCCTGTAATACCAGCACTTTGGGAGGCCGAGGTGGGTGGATCACCTGAGGTCAGGAGTTCAAGAACAGCTTGACCAACATGGTGATACTCTGTCTCTACTAAAAATACAAAAATCAGCCAGGTGTGGTGGCACATGCCTGTAATCCTAGCTACTCAGGAGGCTGAGGCAGGGGAATCTCTTGAACTTAGGAGGTGGAAGTTGCAGTGAGCTGAGATCGTGCCACTGTACTCCAGCCTGGGCGACAGAGCAAGACTCCATCTCAAAAAAAAAAAAAAAAAAGCAAAGAAAGAAACAAGTCTAAAATGGCCATGGTGGCTCGCACCTGTAACCTCAACACTGTGGGAGGTCTAGGTGGGAGTATTGCCTGAGGCTAGGAGTTCAAGACCAGCCTGGGCAACATAGTGAGACCCTATATTTTCAAAAAATTAAAAAATTAACTGGGCAGGCACATATCTTTAGTTCTAGCTACTTGGGAGGTAGAGGCTGGAGGGTGGCTTGAGCCCAGGAGGTCAAAGCTGCAGTGAATTATGATTGTGCCACTGCACTCCAGCCTGGGCAACAGAGCAAGACCCTATCTCTAAAAAGAGTGAAATCTAAGATGTCTTAAGCAAAACAAAGTAAATCACAAAACTAAAAATATAGTGTGATGATACACTTTTTAGCTTATACCTAATTGTTTCACTTTATGTATTTTCCGTAGTGTTTGAATTTTTGCCAATAAGCAATTATTACTTTTGTAATTAAAAAGTCATAAAAATGAGAAGAGAGCCTGGTATCTTTTAAAAATCAGAGCCAAGAATTAAAAAGAAAAAAAGAATTAAAAAAAATTCTACTGAAAAGTGGCCGAAGAATAATAATAATAATAATAAACCAGGGACTCCTGATGAAACTGCACCTGATATGGATCTTCAGAGTCTCAGCTTTGTACATCCTGGAATCCATTTTCTTCATCTAGAGGTGTTCAGATTTATAAAAACTGACTGATGGACCAAACTAACCAATGACTGTTTTATAAGCCAGATGTCAATGTTTTGATTTACACTGGGATATTAAAAGAGGCTCTGTGGTTTCTGTCTGTAATCTCAGCACTTTGTAATGCTAAGGCAGGAGAATTGCTTGAGGCCAAGAGTTTGAGACCAGCCTGAGTAACAAAGTGAGAACCCCTCTCTACAAAAAAATAATAATAATTAGCTGGGTGTGGTGGTGCATGCCTATAGTCCCAGCTCCTCAGGAGGCTGAGGCCGAAGGATTCCTTGAGCCCAGTACAAGGTTGCAGTGAGCCACGATCAAGTCACTGCACTCCAGCCAGGGTGACAAAGCAAGACCCTGCCTCGGGGAGGGGGAAAAAGATGAAAAGAAAGAAAGACTTGTTTTTGTAACTCAAAAACAGTACTGTGTGCCTTGCTTGGCCACCATCTAAATCAGAACTCTAATGCTTTTGACATTCTGTGGTGTAGCTGTGTGGTCAAAATCAGAGGATGAAGCATTGCCCCAATAACCTTCATTTATTTTAAAGGAAGATCTGTGCTCTAACATTTAGTCTATACAGAGGTACTGCTGGAGCTAAGGAGATGGCAGCTCAATAAAAAAGGAGAAAGAGGTTTTAAGGGTAGAACAACCATCTCTGTCTTTGCCAATATAGAGGAATCTGGAAAAGAAGGCTCCAAATAGATATGCATAAATAGATTTCTTCCAAAGCAAAGAAAACTACTTCAAAGAAGCCCTTCTGAGTTCTATAGTATGTTGAAAGGGTTTTTTTATTTCTGATTCTCGCAAAAAATTAAAGACAGAACCAAATTGATATCTGTCAAAGTTTGCTACTGTATTATTTACGTTACAACTTAGATTAATTAGCTTAAGATACCTAAAAGCTTTATGTGGTCTTAGAATGTGATGAAATACGGTATTTGTGTTTGTTGCTATAAAAATTAGCCATCTCTTTCACGTCAAGAACATAATCCCTTTTAGGTGATTGTTTCTAGCAGGAAATAATTCCAGCTCAATCTACAATACCTTTTCTAGGAATGTAAAATGCCTCTCCTGTGAGGAATTCTTAGGTGTAGGATGACCTTTCATTTTTGTAAGTATGGTGCTAAAGATCCCATGATTGGGGACAGTGGTGAATTCTGGTAATAGATACCTTGTCTACCTTTAGCTCCTCACCTTTTTGCTACACTGCAAAGTCATAGGGAGTGAGTTCAGTAGGGCTTGTATTCTGCAAATACTGACATATAACTAAGAGTAGTAATGGTTTCCACTACACTGCCATGTTCTGTGCTAAGCAGAGTATGACAAAAAAAAAAAAAAGAAAGAAAGAAAACATGCACACGTATGTTTATTGCAGCACTATTCACAATAGCAAAGACTTGGAACCAACCCAAATGCCCATCAATGACAGACTGGATAAAGAAAATGTGGCACATGTACACCATGGAATACTATGCAGCCATAAAAAAGGATAAGTTCATGTCCTTTGCAGGGACATGGATGAAGCTGGAAGCCATCATTCTCAGCAAACACAGGAACAGAAACCAAACACTGCATGTTCTCACTCATAAGTGGGAGTTGAACAATGAGAACACAGGGAGGAGAATATCACACAGTCAGGCCTGTTGAGGGTGGGGAGCTAGGGGAGAGATAGCATTAGGAGAAATACCTCATGTAGATGATGGGTTGATGGGTGCAGCAGACCACCATGGCACTTGTATACCTATGTAACAAACCTGCACGTCCTACACAAGTATCCCAGAACTTAAAGTAGGATAAAAAAAAAAAAAACAGCTAATTAAGCCACTTACATTCTGAAAATGTAGGTTTATATTGCTGTGACAGAGCCGAAGACCATGCTTGCCAAAATGCCTGCAAGAGAATTCTGATGTCCAAGAAAACGGAAATGGAGATTGTTGATGGTCTCATCGAGGGTTGTAAGACCCAGCCCTTGCCTCAAGATCCTCTTTGGCAGTGTTTTCTTGAAAGCTCACAATCTGTTCACCCTGGAGTCACTGTACACCCTCCTCCCTCTACTGGCCTTGATGGGGCTAAACTGCATTGTTGTTCTAAAGCAAATACTTCAACATGTAGGTTAGTATTTCATTTTCCTTTACTAAAATCAGTTGAAAATGGCATTTTAATTAATGATTTTAAGCCTAGCAAATGTGTGTTATATTCTTACATGGTATATAGGCTTAGCATTTAGAAAATATAAAATATTCTTTCATCCAGAAAATGTGTATTGAGCATTGTGTAGCATATACAAAACATTGTGCTAAAAGCACTGTTTTGGGGTGTGGAGGATTAGCATTAGCAAGGTAATAAATATTTAAGATGATGAAATATGAATTCTATCCTTATAGAGATCATGAAGTAAGCTTACAGTTTAGAAAATGTTTTGATCTGACATCTAAGGGACATTTTATTAAATTATGAAACTTTGAACTTTTTGTTATGTTGGTGGATAACCTGAGTTAGCACTTATAACCAGAGCTAGGTGGTAGCATATTGGCATTCATTTGGGTGATACACTTAGGGATGAAAAATTTACAATACAAATATAGGATGTAGGAATTCTAATCTAGAGACAAAAACTAATGGAGATAACTAAGACCATGGTAGAACACGGGTAAAATAGAAATTTGCTTTATTAGAGTTATTTGGGGTGAAAAGGGACCCCATGTTGCTAGGATATCCTGAAATGAATATAAGATACCAGGATTAAAACTATCTTTCCTGTGGTTTCTAAATTGGATGATCCTTTTGCAAAAAATCGTGCCTAGAATAGCTTATCAAACTTTGGTAACTGTCAATCAATCTTTGGCAAATTTTTTAAAAGACTTGAAGACTAGGCTTGTTGGCTCAAGCCTATAATCCCAGCACTTCAGGAGGCTGAGGCGGGCAGATCACCTGAGGTCAGGAGTTTGAGACCAGCCTGGCCAATATGGTGAAATCCTGTCTCTACTAAAAAAAAATACAAAAATTAGCAGGGCGTTGTGGCATGTGCCTATAATTCCAGCTACTCGGGAGGCTAACGCAGGTGAATCACTTGAACCTGGGAGGCAGACATTGTAGTGACCTGAGATAGCACTACTGTTCTCTAGCCTGGGGGAAGCAGTGAGATTCCATCTCAAAATAAATACATAAATAAATGAAAGAAAGAAAGACATGAAAAAGAGTGAGACTCAGTCTCCAAATAAATAAAAGACATTAAAAACCTGAAAAATATCCAAAGAAAATTAACAAAAAGACTTAAAGGGAAATTAAATTAGGCTTGCAATTAAGGAAATTGAGTGCTTTATAGAAGTTAATAAATATATTTATGGGTAGGATGCTGAGTGTTTCTTTGAATGCCCACAGAAGTGTTTATACCTATATAGAGTCACTAGAGATTGAAATGGCTGTGCAGTCCCAGAAGAGCTGCAGTAAGGAATGCTCTTCCCTCTCTCTAACCTTAATACTGGGTTTCATGGTTTGCTGAAGGCTTTCATTCTCATCAGATTTCATCTTCATAAAACCTTATGAGATAATTGGAGAAATTATGTAATTTTTCTTTTACACTTAAGAAACTAGGAGATGTTAACCAACGCAAAGACAGATTGACCACCCTTAATCCAAAAATCCGAAATCCAAATGCTCCAAAATCAGAAACTTTTTGAGTGCTGCCATAACACCGCAAGTGGAAAATTCCACACCTGACCTCATGTGGTGGGTCACAGTCAAAACACAGTCAAAACTTTGTATCATGTACAAAATTATTTAAAATATTGTATAAAATTTACCTTCAGGCTATGTGTATAAGGTATATATGAACATAAATGAATGTCATGTTTAGACTTGGGTTCTAGCCCCAGAATATCTCATTAGGTTTATACAAGTATTCTAAAATCCAAAAAACTCAAAAATTTGGGTCCCATGCATTTCAGATGAGGGATACCCAAACTATAGAAAGTTAAGGACTAGCCAGGCGCAGTGACTCATGCCTGCAATTCCAGCACTTTGGGAGGCTGAGGCAGGGGGATCATCTGAGGTCAAGAGTTCCAGACCAGCCTGGTCAACATGGCAAAACTCCATCTCTACTAAAAATACAAAAAAAAAAAAAAAATAGCCAGGTGTGGTGACACACACCTATAATCCCAGCTACTTGGGAGGCTGAAGCACAAGAATCACTTACCCATGAGGCAGAGGCTGTAGTAAGCTGAGATTATACCACTGCACTCCAGACTGGGTGACAGAGTGAGACTCTGTCTCCAGAAAAAAAAGAAAAAGAAAGTTAAGGACTAGAAAAAGGAAAGTTTCCAGATTGAGGTACCTGATATAACTTAATCTCAGCTTCCTTATTCCCATAATGTATAAGCTCCCCACCCCCCATAGCAAAGACCTTGTCTGTTTTATTCACCATTGTATATCCAGTGCTTTGAACAGGCCCTCACACAAAATAGACACTCAATAAACATTGGTGGAGTGAATGAACAAACATAAAAGTAAAGATACCTTCCTCATGGGGTAAATATGAAGCCAAATATAAGATGAATGAAATTTTTTACTTACAATTTGTATATTTCAATAATATGAAAATTTTATTGTATAGTAAAACATGTATTTTATAAATAAAATTAATGAATATCATGTGTAAGAGCACTTTAGAAAATGTACAAATGTTTTAGCTATATACACACACTTAAGTTGCTTTGTAAAAATAAGAATGTCATGTATTAATTACAATAGTATATAGAGACTTTGGAATATCTTAGGGAATATAAATGGCTTTAGTATAGTTTTTCAGGAAGAAACTAATATACCCTAAGTCTATCATGCTTTTTAAAAGAAACTAGAGGGCCATGTCCTGGTTTTACTTTCTGTGTCTGAACGTAAATATAAGGGAATATATCTTTGTGGAGGTAAAACCATTGCTTTAAGTAAAAGTAAAAAAGAAATCAGAAAGATAATAGGGGGAAATAATTGTGCCAGGAACTAAGGATGCACAAATAGAATTGAACATTAAATTTGGCACTGAAATTTCTAGCAACTTTGACAAAAAGAAAAAAGGTAGATGATAAAAGAAGTCTAATTGTTTTTCATGGAAAACAATCACTTTTTCTGGCTCTAGTTTCTAGGAAATAGTCTTTGGTTTTTATACTTTTTGTCTTACATATGTTCCAAAGTCTATAATTCATAGAGTTTTAGTTTTATGAAAATCAAATATTTACTTGGTTGGTTCATGTCTGCTTTTACAATTGTGCTCTTATTTCAGGGAACTCTGCACTAAACTTTACAGCATGAGCTGGGGCAATACACAGAGTTGGCAAGAGTTTGATCGCTTTTGTGAATATAATCCAGTGGAAGTGTCTATGTTGACCTGCTTAGCGGATGTCCGGGAACCTTGCCAGTTGGGCTGTAGAAACCTTACTTACTGTACTAATTTTAACAACAGGTAGGAACAAATTTTTTTTTTTTTTTACTCCAGAACAAATTATTATACATGGAATAGAAATATTTTATCATTAATTTTTAATAAGTAAAAATACCACTTTACCCTGATTTTGTTCCTATTGGGTTAAAAGGAAGTCATATTTCTTTATGATTTCATTTTTAAATGAATATTTCATCTGGTAAGTCACCTCTTGGAAAGGAAGTACTATTACAAAGTCCCTTCCAATCTAGAGACACCTCAAGCTTCTGGAATTCAAAGAATCTTTTCTGCCGTCAGTCCTCTCTTCTTTGTACTGTACCACCAGTGGAAATAATTCATTGTAGAATAAATTATTGTGAACTATTTGATCATCCAAATGTCCACTTTTAAACAGTTTACTTTAAAGGACCTTCAGACTGGCTGAGGTTCCTTCTCAGTGAGTCTCCTGTTTCATATAAAAATATTTCTTTGCAAAAGCAATTCAAATAGATGTTTTCCTAGGATATCAAGTGTCATTAGAAAAATTAGGGGTCAAGAACTGAGCCTTGGAGCATATCAACAGTTAATGGTTGAAGAAACTGAAGAAAACAGAAAAGGGCACCAGAAGCACAAAATGAGAGAACTCCATACAGAAGCCAGAGAGGGAGAGTTGCTAAAGAAGTAGTGGCTGGTTTTATAAGCTATAACCCAGAAATAAAGAGGGCAAAAGGGAAAAGAATCATTCAGCTGGGCCAGAAGGAATTTCTAGATGTTTTTGTCAGATGGTGTTTACTTCAAGCTACACACATCTTGTCTTTTTTAAAGTACTCAGATTATTACTTAGAGTGAGACAATTAAGATATCTTTACAACTGGTGATTGATTATTAGCCAGTAAAAACCTGACTTAGAGATTGAGTGCATTTGAAATGTTTGAAGTTAAACTGAGCACCTAGTTCTGGTCTGGCTTCTGGTAATGGTAGAGTAGCTTGTATGAGCATAACAGCCCTGCCAATACCAGATATGAACTCTGCACAAAATATAAAATAACAGTTGTTTTGAAGGTATTGGAGACTGATCAAAAGTAGGAGGGTCTACATTTTGTTTGTTTGTTTTGTTTTTTGAGACAGAGTCTTGCTCTGTCACCCAGACTGGAGTGCAGTGGTACAGTCTCAGCTCACTGCACACTCTGCCTCCCAGGTTCATGCAATTCTCCTGCCTCAGCCTCCCAAGTAGCTTGGATTACAGGCACCCACCACCACACCTGGCTTTTTTTTTTTTTTTTTTTTGTATTTTTGGTAGAGATAGGGTTTCACCATGTTGGCCAGGCTGGTCTCAAACTCCTGACCTCAAGTGATCTGCCTGCCTCGGCCTCCAAAGTGTTAGGATTACAGGCGTGAGCCATCATGCCTGGCCAACATCTCTTGAAACATAGAAACCACACTGAGCGAAAGCCACATTTCTCCACTTCTTCCTCCTAGGCATTTTCAGTTTTCTTTCACAGGGAGTAGAGTTCAAGCAGAAAGCAGCAGTCTTGGCCTAAGGAGTAAGATATCAGCATTTGGTGCTGCCAGTGAGGCTAGATATTGAAGAAAAAAAAGTTCTGCCAGGTGCAGTGACACATGCCTGCAAGTCCCAGTTACTGGGGAGGCTGAGGTGGGAGGATCACTTGAGCCCAGGAGTTCTGAGTTGTAGTGCGCTATGCCAATCAGGTGTCCACACTAAGTTCGGCATCAATATGGTGACCTCCCAGGAGCAGCGGACCACCAGGTGGCCTAAGGAAGGGTGAATCGGCCCAGGTCAGAAACAGAGCAGGTCAAAACTCCTGTGCTGATCAGTTGTGGGATGGCGCCTGTGAATAGCCACTGTACTCCAGCCTGGGCAACATAGCAAGACCCTATCTCTTAAAAAAAAAAAAAAAAATCCCACAAGGGAGGGGACCACAAAAAGATACGTCCCAGAATCCATAAACAAACTCCCTTTAAGTCCTTGGCTGGCTGACTCCTAAATTGTACTTGTGCAGGATGAGACTACAAGGAACCCAGGGGAAGGTGAACATAGATTTTAGCAGCTAGCATTTGCTGGGCAGACAATTTAGAATTCAGATCATGCCAAGTTAGAAGGACCTAGTAAACCCCATAAGGGCCATGACATCCAAGAACTAAGGGTAAAGCTGAAAAACCTTAACAAAACCTGAAGCTGCCTCCAGAAGAATAAAGTATTTGTCAGTAATTTAACTGCCTTCTAGTATGAAAACAACATTCCTCCGAAGAAGATAACAAAATCCTAAATCTTACAAACTATCGTGTATAATGTCCATCATACAATCAAAAACTACTAGAAATGAGAAAAAATAGGAAATATGACCCATAGTTAAGAGAAAAACAGGCCAGGCATGGTGGCTCATGCCTGTAAACCCAGCACTTTGGGAGGCCAAGGTGGGAGGATCACCCGAAGTCAGGAGTTTGAGACCAGCCTGGCCAACATGGTGAAATCCTATCTCTACTAAAGATACAAAAAAAATTAGCCAGGCATGGTGGCGCATGCCTGTCATCCCAGCTACTCCAGAGGCTGAGGCAGAAAAATCACTTGAACCCAGGAGGCAGAGGTTGCAGTGAGCTGAGATAGCGCGGTTGTACTCCAGTCTGGGCAACAGAGCAAGACTCTGTCTCAAAAAAAAAAAAAAAAAAGGAGGAAAAAACAATCATAAACAATCATACCACTGGTGACCCAACTATTGGAATTAGCAGATAAAAAATTAATTATGATAAATATATTGAAAGATCTATCGATAAAGATAGATACAAGTGAGATGGGGAATGGAGGAGAGCTATGGACGCTCTAAAAAAATATCACATGGAAACTCTAAAACTGAAAAATGTAATATCTAAAATAAATTTATTGTAGGGAATGGGAAATAGACACAGCAGAAGAAAAGGGTCAGTGACCTGGGAGATTGCTCAATAGAAATTATCTAAACTGAAGCACAGAGAGAATAAGTGATATAACACCTGTAATAGTAACCCAGAAGAAAAGGAGAGAAAGGAGCAGAGAAATATTTGATTAAAGCTTGGCTGAAATTTTTCCAAATTTGATGGAATACATTAACCCACTTTTTAGGAAACCTTAGCAAACCCCAAGTCAGATAAATACAAAGAGAGACACACCTAGCATATCGTAGTCAAACTATTGAAAACCAGAGGCAAAGAGAAATAGTTAAAGCAGCCAAAGGGAGAAAAAAAGACAATTTATATATAATGAAATAACAATAAAAATGACAAGTGACTTCCTTTCAGAAACAATGGAGAACCAAAGACCATCAAGCAGTATCCCAAGTAGTATCCTTAAAGTACTCAGGAACAAAAAGAATCTTATATTCAGTGAAAATATTCTTCAAAAGTAAAGGTATTTCTAGATATTACTCAAACAAACAAACAAAAAACTCAGAATTTTCTGCTAGCAGTCTCTCACTATAAGAAATTCTCAGTCTAAAGGAAAATGCCACATGAAAACTCAGACCTACAGAGCACTGGAATTGGTAAATGTTGGTAAACATGAAAAAAAAATTTCCTTTTCTTTTTCTTTTATATTTTATTTTTCAAAAGCAATTGGTTAAAGCAAAAATAATAACAATGTATTGTGGAATTTATACATAGAAGTAAAATATATAATATATAACAGTAGCAAAAAGGATAGGACAGAGGTAAATTATTATACTGTTATAAGTTTCTTACATTATTTGTGACATTGTTTAGTATTAATTCAAGGAAAACTAAAATAATGGACATATGCCTACAGCAACCACTAATTTAAAACATAATACAAAGAGATATAGCTAAGAAGCTAATAGAAAATATGAAATGGAACACTAAAATAATACTTGGCCCATCCAAAAGAAGACAGAAAAAAAAGGAGACAAATTGAAAACCACAGCAAAATGATAGACTTAAGCCCAACTATATCAATAATTACATAAATGTAAATGAACTAAAAACATCAATTGAAAGGCAGAGATTGTTAGAAAGACAATTATTGGAGATAAAGAGTATCACCTTATAATGATAAAAGTTCAATTTATCATGAAGATACAATTAACCTAAATATATATGTGCCTAATGTCAGATAGGTGCATATACTCAAAATACTTAAAAACAGAAATAAACACTAAAGAGAGAGAAATAGTCAATCATATTCAGAGATGTTAACACCCCTCTCTCAGTAATAGAACAAATAGAAAAACAATCAGTGAGGATACAGAGGATTTGAACGACACATGCTGGGTCAAAAAACAAGTCTCAACCACTGTCAGAAGATGAAAATCATAAAAAAGTATATTTTCTGAACACAACAGAATCAAATTGGAAATCAATAAAAAACTATATTGAAATCTTCCCAAATACTTGGTAATTAAACAAATGCTTCTAAATAATCTATGAGACAAAGAAGAAATCACAAATGAAATTAGAGAAGACTTGCAACTGCATGGTAATGAAGACATAATACATCAAAAATTGTTGGTATGGCCAAGTGGTACTTAGAAAGAAATGTATAGCTTTAAATATGTATTTAGTAAAGAACAGCTTCATTTTTATTTTAGTATTATTATTATTATTATTAATATTGAGACAGCGTTTCGATCTTGTTGCCCAGGCTGGAGTGCAAGAACGAGATCCTCGGCTCACTGAAACCTCTGCCTCCTGAGTTCAACCAATTCTCCTGGCATAGTCTCCCAAGTAGCTGGGATTACAGGCATGCACCACCACACACGGCTAATTTTGTATTTTTAGTACAAATGGGGTTTCTCCATGTTAGTCAGGCTGGTCTCAAACTCCTGACTTCAAGTAATCTGCCCGCCTTGGCCTCCCAAAGAGCTGGGATTACAGGCGTGAGCCACCACGCCCAGCCAAGAAGAGTTTTAAACCAGTAATTTCAGTTTCTACTGTAAGAACTTAGAAAAAGAAGAGCAAATTAAACCTGAAGTAAGAAAAAATTAATAATAAGAGCATAAATCAATTAAATATGAGCCAGGGTATGGTGGCTCAGG